CTCAAGAAGAAAACAATAGGTATTAGTAAATTGCTTATGTAGAGTCAGCAGAGACTCCTGTTCTGAGACTGGAACTTCCATTACTGTTTTACTTAACATAAGCTGTTTAGTGTCCTGTGATCCACGGAGAATGTTTAGTTTTATTTCTCATCAACCATAACCTTTTAGAAAGTCTGAGTCCATGGCCTTACAGTAGAAGGGGTCTGCTACCACCAAATAACGGGCAGACCATGGTCTGAGCTACTGCCTGGGGACATCTTGATGTCTATGGGCTGTGAAGAATCGGTCCCACACCTCATCTGAGCATCTTGAAAAACATAGCTCTGGTGGCATGAGAGCAGGAGAGTTGATCCTACTCCTTGCCAGTCGCAGTACTCAGAGCAAACCCCATACATTGCAGGAGTCATGAGTGAGCAGCCCTGAGGATAACAGCATGGGAGAGCTGGCACCACAACTTGCCTGACATGAAGCAGTGTGGGAAACCTCCATCAGAGCGAAACCTCCATCACCCTCACCCTTGCCACCTACAGCAAAGGGAAGAGCTACCATTGGGGTCATGAGAGCAGGAGTGCTGTCCCTGTCCTTCAACTGTTGAAGCTGTAGATTGGGCCCTGCACCTCTCCTGGGCAGCACCGTAGAGCTGGCCCTGGATGGCGGGTACAAGTGCAGGAGAGACGACGCTACCTTTTGTGTTTTGGTGATGGGAGACCTGCCCACAGGGTCATGAACATGGGTGAACTGGCCTTGTCCCTCACCAGCTGCAACACTCTAGAGAGCCTGCCATGCACCTCGACCAGGGTAGCAGGGTAGAGTCGACCGTGTTTGCAGGAGTTGCTGGTGAGCGAGTGGAGGGCATTAGAGTGGGAGAGCCTGTGCGGTGACTAGCCCAGATGCCTTTCAGGCCCAGATCCAGGGCTTTGAATTGGCCCACCCCATCTACCCCATCCATCATCTGGGATCTCCAGATGGGGTACTTGCCCTGTGCCGTGGAAATACCATAGTGGGGAAACTACAGGCTATCTAGAGCAGTTCCAGTATTGACAAGTATCCCGTAGTGGATAGATATGGCAACTACAGGTTAGAGTGGCTGAAGCCAGAGGCCTCCTACCAAACCAACAAGTCATTGCAGTGAACATTTGCAAGCAAAGAAATGTGTACAAAGGGGTATACTGTGGGACACGCTGTGACACTACAGCACCCACAATGAGGTTTTTTTTTTTTTTTTCTTTGTTGGTGGGGAGGAAGCTACAAGGGTGGAGGGCGAGATGAGTGTGATAAGGATGCATGGGGTGAAATTCAAAGAAGAATCAATAAAAAGTTTTAAAAAAAAAATAAAGACTTGTATCTTTTTTGCCCTTAGTATTCACTTCAGTGATGGGTCGTTACTATTTTTATCAGAGAAGGCCTAATTTTCTTTCTGTTCTCAATCTGAAAAACAACACGTCGGAGAAGTTTTAAAAGCCCATTTAGTACCAAGGACAACATGAATATCAGAAATGTGCTTTTATGACACTGACGTCACATGAAAGACAATTGTAGTGTTGGGGAAGGCGCATGATATACAGTAATACCTCCTCGGTTATTAGTGACAAGACAATGTCCTTGACCTAGCTTCTTAATATAGATCCCATCCCTAATGGACCATTATATAGATACCAAGGCTATAGTGCTTTCAAAAGTTGTAACTCCTTCGTTGTTTAGCTAATTTGACAAATAGTGCCTTTCTAAGGTCTGTCAGTCTTTCAGAGGTCAGAAATCGAACGTTCGTGAATATTAACGAGCCAGAGAAGATTGTGTTCCAGTTTATACTCCTTTGGGTATAGAAGTTAGATTTTCCCTTTTACGTTGGAGTTCATTCTGTCAGGATTGTAGTGTAAATTTGTGTTAGGCTTACAAATCAAAACCAGACAAAGAAATAAAATAAATGAGTGTAGTAAAAGCTTTAATTTTTATTTTCTAGTATGCTTCATTAAAAAAGTATATATTCTAGTAATAGTACATTAATGAACTCAAAGACAAATTGGTTGTCACAGATCTCAATTTGTATTTTACAAATATCCACTAAAATATTTAAATATGAAATAAATATATTTACATTTTTATCTTTCTGTTTCACTGCATTGTAGTATGTATAAAATATATAACATTTATATTTTATTCATCTTTAAAGGTAATCTATTATGAAAAGTGATATGATTTTAATGTATTAAAGACTCAGAACAAAACACAAACAGCAATTTTTGAGATATGGATCAAGAGAGTCCTTCTGCCTATGAGCACATCAGTACCAACAGAAACAAAATGTTTGTCCTTAAGTTGGAACAGAGACACTTACCTTACAAAGTTAAGCACAATCTTGTCCTTGCATGGTAAAGCTTCTCCACACTGCAACTTTGAAACAGTGAAATGAAGTGATTGGTCAGATTTACTTTTCCACAGTGATAAGTCAAGCTTCACTTAAGTTCATCATTTGACTTGGGCTATACTATGAATAATCTCTGTCACTGTAAATAAGGGATATGTTGTCATTAACTAGTTGTCTAGAGGTCAGCCATACTTCCTACATTGGAACTGCTTTCACTGCTTGCCAATACTGACCTGGCATTAATTCCTTTCCTCCTTGTTGAATGATACTTGTATGAGCAAAGGCTTTAAAGGAGCAAGTCAGCCCATGCCTTGCTCACAGGAGAATTTACTACCTCATCCTGCTCTTTAAAAATAAGATCGGATGGGAAGCATTGGGTATTTATTATTTTAAATATTATAGTAAGGCAATTTTGAAGTTGTACAATAGCAAATTCAAATGTCCCTGTTTTGGTATACTTCATTTCAGGTGATTTGTAGTTTTCATCACAAAAAAAGACATTCTCATCCTAGCATTGTAGAAGTCATTTTAAACTCCTGTCTCTGACTCACATAACTACATTTTCCGTTAAGCTTGCACTCTGTGTACACCGTAATAAACCCTTTAATGGTCTGTGCACACACGTGTATGTACATACACATCCAGCAAGGCACTGGAGGGGTTAAAATATCATTAAGCATTCTCATGTGCGTTTACTGCTCAAACTTGGAATTGTTGAAAAAAAAATCCCTTATATCTGAACCTAAGCTACTGAGAAATTGAAATCTGTGTTTTGATTAATTTCTAAATTTTCTCATTCATGTAGCCCAAGTCACAGCAAATGACTGGTTAATCTCACTATATAGAAAGCATTAAACACTAACTGTTGAACTGGTCAAAATCAGAACAGTACTTTCCTAATTGGTGCCTATGCCACTAATCATGTTAAATAGCAGTTTCTGCATGGTGCTATTTTAACCAAATTATAAAAATTAAGAATAATAAGGTTGTTTTAATAGGTTTTAATTTAAGGAACACGTTATTATGCTCTACATATCTGTGAAACATTTCCTTTCGGTATAATGAAGCTCAATCTTTTATACCTGTCTCCCTCTCTCTATATTCGTGTGTCTGTAAGTCACACAGTACCCAGGCTCCATACTGAAGAGCTTATCTTATACCCTTACTGTTTGCATGGCACGAGCACTGGAAGAATATTTGATATAACAACAAAAAGGACTTGATTCATTTTTGTATGTTTAAGTGGGATGTTGTAAATTCTACCTTTTAGACTTATTTTATGTGGTGTTCCTGCATGCATCCACGTGTGCCTGGTGCCACTGAGTTCAGAAGAAGACATCACAGCAACTGGAATGGTAACCCCAGATGGTTGTGAGTCACTCCAGATGGGTGCTGGAATCAAATTCAGGTCCCTAGCACAAGCAGTAATAACCTGTAACCGCTAGGCCATCTCTCCAGCCCCATAAGATTACTTTTAACGGGTTACAGAAAACCTTCGTATAGTTTTAAATTCCAAGTTATCGCTCACTTATTTCGCTTTTAGATACCAGTCCCATTTCCCATGGCCTGCAGACAAGGTCCCCCATCATGGGGCTCCAGCATGCTTGGTCACAGAGCTTTCAGAAGAGATAGTAAGCGGTGCCCCTCTCTACTCTTTCTCCTTTTCATTAGAAAGACAGAACTCAAATTTTAGGGTTATTCAAAGTTTACCTTAGCCTTTGTGTTTGGTTGCTATAGTAAGCAGTAATCCCAAAATGACTATTGTAGGTATAGACTGATATTTTAAATATATGCCTTTACATTCAAAATTTTCTGTTCTTTTGTCAAGGAATCTTAGGCCCAAGGTAGCATTTTTATACCTCATAAGATTTCACTTAATCCACTGCAAAAATGAATTAACTTTTTTAATGGTTGTGAAATCTCTCACTATTTTCTGACTTTACTTTCATTGATAAGTGTTCCTTTGAGCAAATAATTTTATTTTTCTTTTGAGTATTATGTGGGATTGTCTTTAATTTAAGGACGGAATATTGACCTGCATATTAAAAAAACTTGATCATTTTAAATGAGATCAAACAATGTCTAGTAAATGTGTACCAATAAAAAATGGGTTTTGTTTTTACTTTTATTTTAAAGTAAACAGAAACAGAGCCTTAGGAAAGAATAAAAGATGCATCCTGCTTTGTATGACTAGAGAGCACTAGCTCTCGGGCGTGTGTATACACTGCCACACTGCCCATTTCTGTCTTTTTACCTTTCTAATCAGATACAAGTTAGCTACAGGAGCATAGATTATTTGACACTACTTAATCCCTCTCCATGGAGCTCTACGACATGCACTTTCATTGTGACTTTTGTTTTCAAATCTCACTTAATTTACTCATAAATATTCTCAAGTGAAAACATCACCAGCTCTCATAAGTTCTGCGGCTACTTTTCAGGGTCTTTTTAGTTCCTGACTGAACAGAAAACTTACAAAGACTTGTTTTTTACACATAATTTATTGATATCATTTTCTTTGCAAGATTTTTGGTTCATTTAACTTTATGAAAGTTTAGTTTGTTCATAAACCTTATAATAAAAGAAGTGTTTTTAAATGAAGAACAGGAGAGTCCTGAGTGTTTTGATATTCATATCTAATACCATTTTCTAATAGAACCACATTTTAGGAACGGTTTCTGAAAAGGTAATGTTTAATTTCTTACTGTGTTATCACAGGCCAATGTAATTGTCTTTATTTATGCTGAAGAATAATTTACAATCATATAAACACAACCGGAGTGCTCATGTGGAATGGTGAGATGGAAATACAGGGAGTACCATGAGAAAAGTAAGACCCTTCTGTCTTTGAAGTCCTTTGTTCGGTTTTTTGTTGTTGCTTGTTTGCTTTTTGCATGCTACTTGCCTTGCTCTTAATTTTTTTTAACTTCTTTACACTCATAATACAATGATAGGGTTCATAATGTGGCCCAATATGCATTTGTCGTACAAAATAATCTAAAATAGAGAAATAGCCGTGTAATTAATATTTTTATTTATAGGTAGCTTACAATTTTTATACTATTTACATACTTTACACCGATCATTTCTTTGTCACCCTACATGGTGGCAACCATCTCGTTTTAGAGATATATGGAGAAAGAATAGGCTGCTCTGCCCGTCCAGGGTCATTTGCAGATGTGTGCCAGGGTAAGACCAGTGGCAGATGCCTCCTGACTTTTCTCCTGCTTCAGTTGCAGTCTGACGCCACTGTTGACCTTGTGGTAGCATAGTCTATCCAAGTGACCCTGAGGACTGTCAGGCAGAGATCAGCACATCAAGCCATGTGTTTTGCTTTGCTTGTAGGAGCAGAGCTTGAAGCAGCAGAAGCAGCAGCCTGATTACCTAAAAACAGAGGGTCCAAACAGGCTACTTTGGCAGCAAAAAATGAATGAATACAGTGAAGAACAGCAAATAAATTTGAAAATTCCAACTCCTGAAAGGAAAGAGAAATAGATCAGGGGAGAAAATCAATTTTTCACCAAACTGTCAACAAGTGGTCATTTTTATGTGTAATGAACATCTAGAATGAGGGATATGTAATTTATAAAAATATAATGCTCTCATGGATACACTATAATGAAAAGAAGATTGATGGCGGAGTAATAGAATTACATGCTTAATGAGACTGATATGCAGCTTATTTTTTTTCATTGCTATGAGGGGTAATTGATATGTAGTGAACCCCTGAGTTTAATGACACAATTTTTGTTATTTAATTATATGTTTGTGATGAACGATAATAACTCCTACTGGCAGACCCTTTTTGATGTTTGCAATTTATACAATGATATCCAGCCTACTGGAAGAGCTTATAAAACATCAGAGAGCTGCATGAGAAAATGGATAGACGTCAGTGTATTTTCTTGGGCTTTGCTATAGGAACACGGCAGCGTTCATCTGGTGTCCCAACAGTTGCCTTTCACCTTTTAATAGTCTACAGTCAGGTTGCTATAGTGGCATTTCTGAAAGCAGTGAAAAAACCATTCACTTGATTATTGCGGTTCCCAAAAATGTTCCCACCAGAGAAGTCTTTTTAAAAATTCTGTTATGTTATCTAAGGCTTTTTAAAATTCCAAATAAAAAATTAATTAAAACGCAATCATATCATTTCCCCATCTCTATTTTTTTCCCTGTCTAATCCTCACCATGTCCTTTCCCTCTATTCCCTCCTTCCACTCAGCCCCATACCTCTTAAATTTATGAACTCATCTTCTCTGGTTTTACATAATTTGTTTATATATATACATATATATATGTATGTATATATATATATATTTATACACACACATGTGTGTGTGTGTGTGGGCACGCGCGCACGCACATGCATACATTTGCATGTTTCCTGATGAGTTTTGGAGAAGAATATTTGGGAGAATAATAATTTCAAATGTCATTGACCACAAATATTAAAATATTTTTTTCTCAAAAATGATCTTATTAAGTTGTTTATAACTTGCTTTTTAAGCTCTCCAAACACCTGAATATTTATGCATTTTAAGTAAGATTAAGCTTTATAATTATCCTACCCATTTTCTGCAGTATTTTACAAAAATTTGATGTTGAGGGGACAGGAGCTCCAAAAGGAGATCAACAGAGCAAAAAATACTGAGCCCTGGGGGCCCTGAAGAGACTGATACCCCAAGAACAATGTAGCCCGTAGACTCAGTGTCCAAATGGAGTCCCTAGTAAGGGGAACAGGGGCTTTCCCTGGCATGAACTCAGTGACAGGCCCTTTGATCACCTCCCCATGAGGTAGGGGGGCAGCCTTGCCAGGCCAAAGAGGAAGACAAATGCAGCCAGTCCTGATGAGACCTGATAGGCTAGGGTCAGAGGGAAGAGGCGAGGACCTCCTTTATCAGTGGGCTAGGGTAGAGGCACATGAGGGAGGGAGGGTGGGATTTGAAGAAGATGAAGGAGGGGACTACAGCTGGGATACAAATTGAAAAAATTGTAATATATGATAATAATAAAAAAACAAAAATTGATGTTGATTAAGACTTTAACATTTTTATATCTTTACAACTTTGATGTTTGTGCTGGTTTGCATGAAAACAGATAAGAAGAAGTGATCACCTCCCCAGGTCTCTGTCTTAGCTCTTTCAGTCTCAGCCACCTCTAGGGCTTCCTCGGTCACAACTGCATGAACTTACGAGGATAGTCTCTTTTCTCACCTATTTCTCGTGTTTCTCAGTCTTTCATTTCCACACATACGTGGGCTCTGCATGCTGCTCTTTTGCAACAGAGCTTTTCTGACTTTTCCCCATGAATCTTATGAAATAAAATCTAATTTCAAATTTTAATTATTTGGTCATTCAATAAATATATATCATAATCCTTCTTTGTTGTTGTGTTAAAGACATGTATCAGAAAGCAAGATAAACAAGAAGGGGCTGATGTTGCTTCAGGAAAGCTTTCTTCTGGTTATTATTTGAAAGGTATGTTTTTTTTATTTTCTTTTTTATTTCTTTTTTTTTATTAATTACACTTTATTCATTTTGTATCCCCCCATAAGCCCCTCCCTCCTCCCCTGCCGATCCCACCCTCCCTCCCCTTTCTGCATGCATGCCACTCCCCAAGTCCACTGATAGGGGACGTTCTCCTCTCCTTTCTGATCTTAGTCTATCAGTTCTCATCAAAAGTGGCTGCATTGTCCTCTACTGTGGCCTGGTAAGGCTGCTCCCCCCTCAGGGGGAAGTGATCAATGAGCAGGCCAATCAGATTATGTCAGAGGCAATCCCTCTTCCCATTACTATGTAACCCACTTGGACACTGAACTGCCATGGGCTACACCTGTGCAGGGGTTCCAGGTTATCTCCACGGATAGTCCTTGGTTGGAGTATGAGTCTCTGGGAAGTTCCCTGTGTTCAAATTATCTTGTTCTGTTGCTCTCCTTGTGGAGTTCCCATCCCCTCCAGCTCTTACTATTTCCCACTTCTTACATAAAATTCCATTCACTCTGCCCATCAGTTGGCCATCAGGCTCAGCATCTGCTTTGACAGTCTATACTGCAGAAACTTTCAGAGGCCCTCTGTGGCAGGTTTCCAGGTTGTTTCCTGTTTTCTTCTGGCTTTCAGAGGCCCTCTGTAGCGGGTTCCGAGGTTGTTTCCTATTTTCGTTTTCTTCTGATGTCCATCCTCTTTGCCTTTCAGGATGGGGATTGAACATTTTAGTTAGGATCCTCTCTTTTGCTTAGTTTGTTTAGATGTACAGATTTTAGTGGGTTTATTCTATATTGTATGTTTATATGAGTGAGTATATACCGTGAGTGTCTTTTTGCTTCTGGGTCAACTCACTCAGGATGATCCTTTCCAGGTCCCACCATTTACCTGCAAATTTCATGATTTCCTTATTTTTCATTGCTGAGTAATACTCCATTGTATAGATGTACCACAGTTTCTGCATCCATTCTTCAGTTGAGGGGCATCTGGGTTGTTTCCAGCTTCTGGCTATTACAAATAAAGCTGCTACAAACATGGTTGAACAAATGTTCTTTTTGTGTACTTGAGCCTCTTTTGGGTATATGCCTAGGAGTGGTATGGCTGGATCTTGAGGAAGCGCTATTCCTAGTTGTCTGAGAAAGCGCCAGATTGATTTCCAGAGTGGTTGTACCAGTTTACATTCCCACCAGCAGTGGAGAAGGGTTCCCCTTTCTCCACAACCTCTCCAGCATGTGTTGTCCCTTGAGATTTTCATCTTGGCCATTCTGATGGGTGTAAGGTGAAATCTCAGGGTTGTTTTGATTTGCATTTCCCTAATGACTAATGAGGTTGAGCATTTCTTTAAGTGCTTCTCTGCCATTCGATATTCCTCTGCAGAGAATTCTCTCTTTAGCTCTGTTCCCCATTTTTTAAGTGGATTACTTGGTTTGTTGCTTTTCAGCTTGTTTAGTTCTTTATATATATTGGATATGAGTCCTCTGTCAGATAGAGGGTTGGTGATGATTCTTTCCCAATCTGTAGGCTGTCGCTTTGTTTTGATGACTGTGTCCTTTGCTTTACAGAAGCTTTTCAATTTCATGAGGTCCCATTTATTGATTGTTGCTCTTAGAGCCTGTGCTGTTGGTGTTCTGTTCAGGAAGTTTTCTCCCGTACTTTTTATCCTTTGTCTTTTATACTAAAACGTGTTTAATTGTTAAGTATTGACAGGTCTTCTTTTGTGAATAAGATGGTGATTTCATTCATCCCTTACCATAGAACTCAATGGGTGACAACTGGAGATCTGAAAATCCTTCTCCCCAGTGGTAATGAAGAGTGCATAGGACAGATGCTCATGGTGGGTTAGACAATGCCTGTAATTCTCCCTTACTTGGCAAGAGCACTCTGATAGCTGCCTTATTCGAACAAAACAATGTAAATGGAAGCCATTTAAAAAAGATTTAACTAAAGGCGGGAGTATCTAAACAAATTGATGAAATGTCTAGTGTCCCCACACATGGAATAAAATCATTTATACCAAGAAATGTAAAGATCCTAAGCTGAAAACAAAACAAAACAAAACAGCTGTTGCTGATACTGAAACTACACTTGAATTAACCTGTCAAATATTTCTCTGTTGCACTAATAAAATTGTCACAAGGAACATTTGCCTGCATGCTTAGAACAGATAAAGTAGTCAAAATTGTAAGAATTGGGAACCTCTCAAATAAACACAACACCAAGAAAGTCACATGGAAACTCTGAAAGAAAACATATAGTGAGGGATAATAAACACAATGGATTACTCAGCAGTATAAGAAAAGAAACAAGAACTAACCAGATGGAAAACAATGACAATTAATCACCTATTAGAAAACTATAAAATACTGATGAGCAAATGAAAAAAAATATTGGAAAATATATAGTCTCCAAATTAATGGAAGGCTAATGTCTTTACAATTTACAATTTAAGCTGCTCTGTGAAACACAAGAAACAAAGGGAAGAAATCCATTCCAAGACTCTTCAGAATCTACTGAAAAGGGAGGACAGCAAACAGAACCTTACCTAGAGGAGACCACCACTCAGCTGAGAATCTCATCGGAAATTATACAGCCTGACGGAAGTGCTATAGGACTATAATACTGCTGAATGAGAAGAGCTGCAAGTTCTGAATTCTAGGATCATCAACATCAGAAATTCAGAACTAAAGAACCTCAAGATACTCTCAGAAGAAGAAAATAAATGGGAAAAATAAAAGTTATCAGAAGAGATAATGCTAAAATAAGTCTTAGAAAATCATGTAGAAAATATTAATGGAAAGACATTGAAAAACATGAGAACAAAAGAAAACAGCAAGAAAAATATGCAAAAACACTACTGTTTTGAGTTTCCTACGTTATGTTTGAATATTTTAAAACATTATAACAATGTCTGGTATGGTGTCAAATGCATGCAGAGGATGCATTTTTAAATGTTCTCTATAAAAAAATATGGAACATTTTTACAGAAGGTACAATT